GTTAAAACATGCCAAATTCCTTTGGAAGACAATTTCTGTGTAGCTGAAGTCAATGCTTATGACTCACTATTTGTGTCCTAAATGGACATACATAGGCCTGGTGTGTCAAAGTCCAGTCCTGGAGGGCCGCTGCCCTGCAACTTTAGATGAGCCTCTGCTGCACACCTGGATATAATAATTAGATCATTAGCAAGGCTCTGGAGACCTGATCTACACAAGGAGGAGGTAATTAAACCATTTCATTCCAGCGTTTTGTAGTGTGGCACATCTAAAAACTGCAAGACAGCGGCCCTGGAGGACTGGAGTTTGACACCTGTGACATTAGCACCAGCTATCAACCACTCACCATCACTGCCTGAAGAATATAATGTAAATGGCCCAAGCACTGTTTCAGTCACTTCTTAGTTTTCACCCAAGACAACATACAAACAACCCAGAAAGTCGCCACCCATCAGTTCTCTTTAAAGATCCAAGTTTCTTTCTTTTAAATAAAACGGGGGAAGTTGGGTGAGGGACAGCGGGGAGGGGCTGGAGGCTAGGAGGCTAGGAGGGGCTGGATGCTAGGAGGTAGCGAGACGTTATATGCCTGCGCTACATGCTGTAAGATTAACAACGGACCAAACCCGTGTTTTAAATCGAGCTTTAAGATAATGTATCAAACCTCAGGCGCAAAATGAAATGTACTACAGAAATATGAAAGCATTAAACTCACCTTTGGGTTAGCGTTCGCCTCCATAGTCGCCAGCCTCTGTGATGCTGGTATTTCTTCTCTATGACGTGGCGTCTTGTGATTGGCTGGGTGTTGGAATCTGACGTCCATTGCGCATGTCTGTGACCTGAAGTAACCTTGCCATTTTAACAGCGAATTTTTAGACGTTGAATTTTTTACAACGAAATTTTTATCACTGAATTTTTTTACGTTGAAAGTTCAGAGACATTTTTTATTCAAATCCTGATGGCACATATTTACTTCCATATGATCTGTGTGAAAACACTGTTATCTATTGTCAACACCTGCTAGATGTTACGCTTCCAACTCAATATTTACTTATCTCAATTCTGCTGCCAATAAGCAGAAATGGACTATCAAAATAAAAGCTGGGTCTTGTGTTATGTCGCTGCCTCACCGTTCATTTGTTATTTTACTTTTCACTGGTTACGGGAGAGCAGGGCCAACAATAAGTGATGTAGATAAAGAAACGGGCAGCTGACCTCTGTCGCCCTGGTCCATCAGAAACTCCGTTCAATAGTTTCATTTTGTCTTGATGTAGTTTGTCTCTTTTCCGGCCGATTTTCCAAACACAAATCAAAACAGAAGAAAACAAACTTCAGGCCAAAACCTCCGCCGCTCCTCTGGGTGGATCCGTCCCAAAACCGTCATTTCAATTATGTTTTTCATTCACCAAAACTCCCTGCTGCCCCGAACCCCTGGTGAGCCAAAATAAAAACTACAAATAAACAATCAGGAGATGGATGTATCGCTAGTATGTGACGTTTACTGACGTCAAACGTCTGTTAGGCTTTAAAACTGAACACGTTTTGGTTTGAGCTGAAAGTTCAACAAAAGAAACGGAGATGAAGAGGTTAGAAATCAGGAGTTTGGAAGATCAAGCTTTTATTTTGGTAATCTACTTCCACAAGCTAATTAACATAAGCTAAATCTTTAGCCTTATATTTAACTTCCTCACTAAACATTTAGTTTGAAATGGTGACATTTACAGATGAACGAATAAAAACTGAAAATGTGAAACATGAACTCCATGTTTTACATGTCATTTCCATGATGACAGGCTGAATAACCCAAAACCACTTTTCTTGGTTTTACCGGCGGGCGCGAACCGAACCGAACCGAACCGAACCGGCGGGCGAACCGAACCGAACCGGCGGGCGAACCGAACCGAACCGGCGGGCGAACCGAACCGAACCGGCGGGCGCCGTCTGATCAGAGGCAGACGAAACTGGACCCCTGCTGGCTCCATTGGAGCAGTTAGAAACCAGCAGAACCACTAGAACTAGTAGAACCAGTAGGACCAGCAGAACCAGTAGGACCAGCAGAACCAGTAGGACTGGTAGAACCAGTAGAACCAGTAGGGCCAGTAGAACCAGTAGGACCAGTAGAACCAGTAGGACCAGCAGAACCAGTAGGACTGGTAGAACCAGTAGAACCAGTAGGGCCAGTAGAACCAGTAGGACCAGTAGAACCAGTAGAACCAGTAGGGCCAGTAGAACCAGTAGAACCAGTAGAACCAGTAGGACCAGTAGGGCCAGTAGAACCAGTAGGACTGGTAGAACCAGTAGAACCAGTAGGACCAGTAGAACCAGTAGAACCAGTAGGGCCAGTAGAACCAGTAGGACCAGTAGGGCCAGTAGAACCAGTAGGGCTGGTAGAACCAGTAGGGCCAGTAGAACCAGTAGGGCCAGTAGAACCAGTAGGGCCAGTAGAACCAGTAGGACTGGTAGAACCAGTAGAACCAGTAGGACCAGTAGGACCAGTAGAACCAGTAGTTCACACGGATGTGTGTGTTAGTGTTTAGTGTGTTAGTGTGTGTTAGTGTGTGTTAGTGTGTGTGTTAGTGTGTGTTAGTGTGTGTGTTAGTGTGTGTTAGTGTGTGTGTTAGTGTGTGTTAGTGTGTGTTAGTGTGTTAGTGTGTTAGTGTGTGTGTTAGTGTGTGTTAGTGTGTTAGTGTGTGTGTTAGTGTGTGTTAGTGTGTTAGTGTGTGTTAGTGTGTTATTGTGTGTGTGTGTGTTAGTGTGTGTTTGTGTGTGTGTTAGTGTGTGTGTTAGTGTGTGTTAGTGTGTTAGTGTGTGTGTTAGTGTGTGTTAGTGTGTTAGTGTGTGTTAGTGTGTTATTGTGTGTGTGTGTGTTAGTGTGTGTTAGTGTGTGTGTTAGTGTGTGTGTTAGTGTGTGTTAGTGTGTTAGTGTGTGTGTTAGTGTGTGTTAGTGTGTTAGTGTGTGTTAGTGTGTTATTGTGTGTGTGTGTGTTAGTGTGTGTGTGTGTGTTAGTGTGTTAGTGTGTGTGTGTGTTAGTGTGTGTGTGTGTGTTAGTGTGTGTTAGTGTGTGTGTGTGTGTTAGTGTGTGTGTTAGTGTGTGTGTTAGTGTGTGTGTGTGTGTTAGTGTGTTAGTGTGTGTGTGTTAGTGTGTGTGTGTGTTAGTGTGTGTGTTAGTGTGTGTGTTAGTGTGTGTTAGTGTGTTAGTGTGTGTTAGTGTGTGTTAGTGTGTGTGTTAGTGTGTGTGTTAGTGTGTGTTAGTGTGTGTTAGTGTGTGTTAGTGTGTTAGTGTGTGTGTTAGTGTGTGTGTTAGTGTGTTAGTGTGTGTTAGTGTGTGTGTTAGTGTGTTAGTGTGTGTGTGTGTGTTAGTGTGTGTGTTAGTGTGTTAGTGTGTGTGTTAGTGTGTGTTAGTGTGTGTTAGTGTGTGTTAGTGTGTTAGTGTGTGTTAGTGTGTGTGTTAGTGTGTGTTAGTGTGTGTTAGTGTGTTAGTGTGTGTGTTAGTGTGTGTGTTAGTGTGTTAGTGTGTGTGTGTGTGTTAGTGTGTGTTAGTGTGTTAGTGTGTGTGTTAGTGTGTGTTAGTGTGTGTTAGTGTGTGTGTGTGTTAGTGTGTGTGTTAGTGTGTGTTAGTGTGTGTTAGTGTGTGTTAGTGTGTGTGTTAGTGTGTGTGTTAGTGTGTTAGTGTGTGTGTGTGTTAGTGTGTGTGTGTGTGTTAGTGTGTGTGTTAGTGTGTGTGTTAGTGTGTGTTAGTGTGTGTGTTAGTGTGTGTGTTAGTGTGTTAGTGTGTTAGTGTGTGTGTGTGTGTTAGTGTGTGTGTGTGTGTTAGTGTGTGTGTTAGTGTGTGTTAGTGTGTGTTAGTGTGTGTGTTAGTGTGTTAGTGTGTGTTAGTGTGTGTTAGTGTGTTATTGTGTGTGTGTGTGTTAGTGTGTGTGTGTGTGTTAGTGTGTTAGTGTGTGTTGTGTGTTAGTGTGTGTTAGTGTGTGTTAGTGTGTTAGTGTGTTAGTGTGTGTTAGTGTGTGTTAGTGTGTGTGTTAGTGTGTTAGTGTGTGTGTGTGTGTTAGTGTGTTAGTGTGTGTGTTAGTGTGTTAGTGTGTGTGTGTGTTAGTGTGTGTTAGTGTGTGTTAGTGTGTTATTGTGTGTGTGTGTTAGTGTGTGTGTGTGTGTTAGTGTGTGTGTGTGTGTTAGTGTGTGTGTGTGTGTGTTAGTGTGTGTGGTGTGTGTTAGTGTGTGTGTGTGTGTGTTAGTGTGTTATTGTGTGTGTGTGTGTTAGTGTGTGTTAGTGTGTGTTAGTGTGTTATTGTGTGTGTGTGTGTTAGTGTGTTATTGTGTGTGTGTGTGTTAGTGTGTGTTAGTGTGTGTTAGTGTGTTAGTGTGTGTGTTAGTGTGTGTGTTAGTGTGTGTTAGTGTGTGTGTTAGTGTGTGTTAGTGTGTGTTAGTGTGTGTGTTATTGTGTGTGTGTGTGTTAGTGTGTGTTGGTGTGTGTGTGTGTGTGTGTTAGTGTGTGTGTTATTGTGTGTGTGTGTGTTAGTGTGTGTTGGTGTGTGTGTGTGTGTGTGTTAGTGTGTGTTGGTGTGTTAGTGTGTTAGTGTGTGTGTTAGTGTGTGTTGGTGTGTTAGTGTGTTAGTGTGTGTGTGTGTGTGTGTTAGTGTGTGTGTTAGTGTGTGTGTTAGTGTGTGTTTAGTGTGTGTGTTAGTGTGTGTGTTAGTGTGTGTTAGTGTGTGTGTTAGTGTGTGTTAGTGTGTTATTGTGTGTGTGTGTGTTAGTGTGTGTTGGTGTGTTAGTGTGTGTGTTAGTGTGTGTGTTAGTGTGTGTGTGTGTGTTAGTGTGTGTTAGTGTGTGTTAGTGTGTTATTGTGTGTGTGTGTGTTAGTGTGTGTTAGTGTGTGTGTGTGTGTTAGTGTGTTAGTGTGTGTTAGTGTGTGTTAGTGTGTGTTAGTGTGTTAGTGTGTGTTAGTGTGTTAGTGTGTGTTAGTGTGTGTTAGTGTGTGTGTTAGTGTGTGTGTGTGTGTTCTTACAGTGAACTGTATCTGACAGCCCCCCATGATGAAATCCAGGAAGGAATGCATCTTGATGATCTGAGACAGGAAACAGAAACTCTGCTGTGAATCACTGAAGTTTCGCCGTCAGCTGATCAGACGGCGTCTGACCCTCTGATCTTTGACCCGATCAGAGCAGGCGAACGCGGCCGAAGAGTTTCTAATCGGGATGAAGACGGTCAGAAAAATAAATACTGAATGATTAAAAGAGCAGAAGAAGAGTTCAGACCTGAAACAGCAAAACTAAAAATGTTTTTTGTTCAGAACCAGAAATATGATCTGCAGCCGATACCAGAACGACCAAAGGTTCTGGACTGGACACCGGTTCTGACCCAAATTAATGAAATAAATTCAAAAGTCTCAGACTTGAAGAGAACAGAACCAGCTCTCCTCTGGGTTCTGTTCGGTCTGGTTCTGATGGTTCTGTTCTGCTCTGTTTGGGTCAGCAGGCGGAGCGGTTCCGGCCCGGTGTGCTGTGACAGAACCGGACCTCTGCAGCAGAATTCACCTTGCACTGGTTCAGGATGACGATCCCAGAGTTCTTGTAGTTCTTCTTCTTGGTTCTGTATTTGGGATTTATGCACGGCCACTGGACCTGGAACAGGAAACAGGAAACAGGAAACAGGAGCGTCAGTCAGACCTCTGGAAGGTTTTCCTCTGGACCTTTGACCCGTTTTGTTTCAGCATGGATCCGTGTGAACAAGCGATTCATGTTTCACTGGCGAACAGTTCAGATGTTTGACTGCATTCACATTATTTATGAAATCAATTCGGTCAATAAAGTATTCACACCCCCAGAACCACGAGCTTCAGGTCGTTTTACTGTGAATTCATGGTACATGGGGAAGCGTCGCCCCTCATCCAGCAGCGGTTACCACCCTGAGGTCGCCGCCAGCTGTCCAGCATGACCTGAGTCAGGAGGGTTAGGAAGCTGCAATCGGATCCAGCTTCAGCTTCGTTCTGACATGGAGGAACGGGTCCAGGGATTTGTAGTTCAGAGGCAAACGGCCAGCTGACAGAAAGCAGATAAACAGTGGAGCGGTGGCGTAGCGGCGGTGGCGTAGCAGTGGCGTGGCGTAGCGGTGGCGGTGGCGTGGCGGCGGCGTGGCGGTGGTGGCGTGGCGTGGTGTAGCGGCGGTGGCGTAGCGGTGGCGTGCGTAGCGGTGGCGTGGCGTAGCGGCGGTGGCGTAGCGGTGGCGTGGCGTAGCGGTGGCGTGGCGTAGCGGCGGTGGCGTAGCGGTGGCGTGGCGTAGCGGTGGCGTGGCGTAGCGGCGGTGGCGTAGCGGTGGCGTGGCGTAGCGGCGGTGGCGTGGCGTAGCGGTGGCGTGGCGTAGCGGTGGCGTGGCGTAGCGGCGGTGGCGTAGCGGTGGCGTGGCGTAGCGGTGGCGTGGCGTAGCGGCGGTGGCGTAGCGGTGGCGTGGCGTAGCGGTGGCGTGGCGTAGCGGTGGCGTGGCGTAGCGGTGGCGTGGTGTAGCGGCGGTGGCGTAGCGGTGGCGTAGCGGTGGCGTAGCGGTGGCGTGGCGTAGCGGTGGCGTGGCGTAGCGGTGGCGTGGTGTAGCGGTGGCGTGGCGTAGCGGCGGTGGCGTGGCGTAGCGGTGGCGTGGCGGTGGCGGCAGCTCCTCTGGCCGTCACCTCCTGTCTCCCCACAGGTTCGGCAGTCAGGATTCTGCCGGCCCACTTCAGGATCCATCAGTCTGAACAGGTCCGGTAAGGAGTCCTGTCGTTCTCCGGCTCAGGGATGCTGTCATGTTTCTATGGAAACCACTGGCCGGACCGGAGGAAACATCCAGAAGATCTGAACTTATTTCTGTTTCTGAATGATTGGTCGGATCTGTTCCTGCTGTAATTATTACATAAACCCATATTTACAGCCAACCCTCAGAGTGTGTGTGTGTGTGTGTGTGTGTGTGTGTGTGTGTGTGTGTGTGTGTGTGTGTGTGTGTGTGTGTGTGTGTGTGTGTGTGTGTGTGTGAATGAATCAGTCACACACACTGGGCTTCAAGCTGAAGTTTGTTCTGTGTTTTTCTGAGCTCCAGCAGCAGATGACCTCTGACCTGGAGGTTGCGGTCTCACCTGCCGGCCGTCGATGGCGCCTCTCATCTCCTTGAAGGACGCCTCGAACTCTCCGATGTAATCGTGTTTCCCGTTGGAGTCCCAGTCCCACACGGTGCACTGGAACCAGAACACAGAGCAGACTGGAGACCCGGCCCGGTTCCGACAGCGGGTCAGAACCATCCGGCCCGATTCCGACAGCAAGTCAGAACCATCCGGCCCGGTTCCGACAGCGGGTCAGAACCATCCGGCCCGGTTCCGACAGCGGGTCAGAACCATCCGGCCCGGTTCTGACCCACTTTGAGGCGACTCGGTTTAATTTATAACTGAACCTTTATGAACAAATGAATGACACGGTGAAAATAAAACGAACCTCCATTTTGTTCCTAAATAACCACTGATGTTGGTTTCTGATGATGTAAAGGCACTAATGGCACCCTATACATCCCTTCCTGGTCAGTTCTTGCTCAGCATGCCACCTGCCCTGTCGTGAAGCACATGTGCATAGCAGGAAATTAGCTAGTTTAGCGAGCTAATGCGGCTGGCTAGCAGTTGCTACCAACAATTAGCTTGCCGGCTACGTTAGCTCACCAGGCTAGCTGCTGAAGGAAATTCCCAAGAATCTGTTTTCACAGCAAAAACTTAGTTATTCTATGGTCCAGTTTCACTGTACCACCCTTGAGATTGACTCCTGAAGTCTCAGGGGTCAGAGGTCAGAGGCTCCAGACAGACTGACAGAGGAAGATAAAGATGAAGGCTTTCCTGACACTGTTAGCTAAAGTGCAATCTGCTGCAGCAGCCAATCATTTTTTAAAATTTTTTTTTTTTATTGCAAACACAGAACAAACATACACAACATATAACACTCTTAATTACAAACAGGTACATTTACAACAATAAAGGGCTTTATAGAACATAGAACAATTATTTTACAATATTAACATCCAATCGCTGCTCCAGGGTTTTATTTCCTTAAGGGCATCTAAGATTTGAATGGCTTTGGTATTTGAGCTAATTTTTAAAGATTCTATATAAATATTAATAGAGGATAATAAAATCTTAAGGTTAGGTTTGTGCTCTGAATATTTGGAGGTATGAATATGATATTTACTGTAAATAATAAAAACGTTAACAACGTATAATAATTTTGTTTTAACAAGTTTACATTTGTCCATCCCAAACAGTTTATCCTTAGCTGTAAAAGTAATATTTACATTTTTTTGATGAAAATAATTTGTCATATCTCTCCAGAATATTTTGGTGTAATTAAAATCCCAAAAAAGATGAACAAGAGTTTCTTCATTATTTTTACAGAAAGTACACATAGGATCCAAATCCCATTTATATCTTTTTATCAAAATGTTTTACTGGGATACACACTGAATTATTTTATAAGAATTTCTTTTATTTTATTATTTATTAAGTATTTTTTAGGGAGCAACCAAGTCCATTTCCAATTTATATTTTCGAAAATTCTGGACCAATAAAATACACAAGCTGGTGAAAAAACCATATCTCTTAATAGAATATTTCTTAACATTTAGTTGTTGCTTTCTTACTTATAAAAGGACAATCATAGTCAATATAAATGGAATTTGGATCAAAATTTGGTATAGAGTAAGTTTGACCTGGAGGTGAAGATGATAAAAGCTTTAATGACCCACTAGGGCAGTGCTTCTCAAATAGTGGGGAGTGCTTCTGCATCCCCTAATGCAGAAGCACTGCATTAGGGATTGCGTCAAATACCACTGCATATTCCTTAGGAGTAACAGGAAATTGGAAAAGTAACATAAAGTCAGAATAAGACAATAAATGGCCATCTGGATTTAGTAACTGGCTTACAAGAAATATTCCCTTATCAAACCATTTTTTATAGAATATTGTCTTATTTTTGTATTTAATGTCTTCATTATTCCGTATATAATATTTATGAGGAGAGAAATTGTGTTTGTACAAAGTGTCCAGCTTAACAGCATTTGTTTATGAAACGTAGATAATTTTAAGGGTATTTTGGGAATACTGTAATTGCATCTAAGAAGAAAAGGTAAACCTCCAATTTTATGAAGTTTGTAAATTGGAATAGCATTCCATATAGAGATTTTTTAATATTTCATTTTGAATGAATTATTTAAAGATATGAAGTCAAGGGCTTCAATTCCACCTTTTTCAACTTTATTCATTAAACTACTTTTCTTAATGAGATGACATTTTTTTTCCATATAAAATTAAAATTTATTTTATTAATGTTAGTAATGATTTGTTTTGGAACGTCAAGAGCAAAGGCTGGGTAAACGAGTCTAGATATTCCTTCAGCTTTGACCAATAATGAACGTCCTAAGAGAGAGAGATCTCGCTGTAGCCACAGATTAAATCTTTGTTAACCAGTTTAATGATAGGGTTAAAGTTTTCTGTTGATCTTATATTTTGATCTTTAATTATTGTGATTCCAAGATATTAACTTTATCTTTTATAGGAATGTTGAAAAATGTGCCTTTTAATTGAGATTTAATGGAAAGTGTTTCACATTTATTTAGATTTAGAGTTAAACCGGAGCCTTCGGAAAATGAGTTGATAATTTCAATAGATTTTTTATTTCGCACTTATTCTTTAAGAAAAGTGCAGTGTCATCAGCGAGTTGAGAGATTACAATATTTTTGTTTGCAACATTAATCCCTGTATTTTTTCTTTGATTTTGATAGAAAGAATTTGCATGGCCAGAATAAATAAGTATGGAGATACTGGACATCCTGGCCTGAGACCTCTTTTCAAATCAAATCTTTTAGAGCAGCCATGTGACAATTTTTATAGACGCATTGCAATTCCTATATAACATTTGACAGCTTTTAATGAAGATTTGTTCGTATCCAAATACCTCTAATGCCTTAAACAAAAATGTATGCTCCACTGTGTCAAAGGCTTGAAAAAAATCCAGAAATAATATGAGACCGTTGTCCTCAATTAAATCTGAATAATCTAGCAAATCCATTATAAGTCTAATATTGTTAGTTATATGTCTACGTGGAATGAATCCAGATTGAGTTTCATCAATCGCAGCCAATCACATGCTCACATTTAACCTGGAGCTGTGACATCATCAGGTGACATCATCGTGTGAGGAATGGGCGAGTCTTACCTGCAGCTTTCTGTCATGGTCTCCGCTGCAGAGTGAGTTCAGAGACACTTTGAAGGTTTTCCAAATCGGATTCAGATTATTCATGACCGTCTGAGGAGGACAGAGACAGAAACGTTAGACTGAACCAGATTAACCCAAACTGAACCAGATTAATCCAAACTGAACCAGATTAACCCAAACTAAACCAGATTAATCCAAACTGAACCAGATTAACCCAAACTGAACCAGATTAACCCAAACTGAACCAGATTAATCCAAACTAAACCAGATTAATCCAAACTAAACCAGATTAATCCAAACTAAACCAGATTAATCCAAACTGAACCAGATTAATCCAAACTAAACCAGATTAATCCAAACTGAACCAGATTAACCCAAACTGAACCAGATTAATCCAAACTGAACCAGATTAATCCAAACTAAACCAGATTAATCCAAACTAAACCAGATTAATCCAAACTGAACCAGATTAACCCAAACTGAACCAGATTATCCCAAACTGAACCAGATTAATCCAAACTAAACCAGATTAATCCAAACTGAACCAGATTAACCCAAACTGAACCAGATTAACCCAAACTGAACCAGATTGACCCAAACTGAACCAGATTAATCCAAACTGAACCAGATTAATCCAAACTAAACCAGATTAATCCAAACTGAACCAGATTAACCCAAAATGAACCAGATTAATCCAAACTAACCAGATTAATCCAAACTAAACCAGATTAACCCAAACTAAACCAGATTAATCCAAACTGAACCAGATTAACCCAAACTGAACCAGATTAATCCAAACTAAACCAGATTAACCCAAACTAAACCAGATTAATCCAAACTAAACCAGATTAATCCAAACTGAACCAGATTAACTCAAACTGAACCAGATTAATCCAAACTAAACCAGATTAATCCAAACTGAACCAGATTAACCCAAACTGAACCAGATTAACCCAACTAAACCAGATTAATCCTAACTAAACCAGATTAATCCAAACTGAACCAGATTAACCCAAAATGAACCAGATTACCCAAGAAAAGATTAACCCAAACTGAACAGATTACCAGAAATCCAAACTGAACAGATTAACCCAAACTGACCCAGATTGACCCAAACTAAACCAGATTATCCCAAACTGAACCAGATTAACCCAAACTAAACCAGATTAATCCAAACTAAACCAGATTAACCCAAACTGAACCAGATTAATCCAAACTGAACCAGATTAACCCAAACTGAACCAGATTAATCCAAACTAAACCAGATTAACCCAAACTAAACCAGATTAATCCAAACTGAACCAGATTAACCCAAACTGAACCAGATTAATCCAAACTAAACCAGATTAACCCAAACTAAACCAGATTAATCCAACTAAACCAGATTAATCCAAACTGAACCAGATTAACTCAAACTGAACCAGATTAACCCAAACTGAACCAGATTAATCCAAACTAAACCAGATTAACCCAAACTAAAACCAGATTAATCCAAACTAAACCAGATTAATCCAAACTGAACAGATTAACTCAACTGAACCAGATTAATCCAAACTAAACCAGATTAATCCAAACTAAACCAGATTAATCCAAACTGAACCAGATTAACCCAAACTGAACCAGATTAACCCAACTAAACCAGATTAATCCAAACTGAACCAGATTAACCCAAACTGACCAGATTAACCCAAACTGAACCAGATTAATCCAAACTGAACCAGATTAACCCAAACTGAACCAGATTAATCCAAACTAAACCAGATTAACCCAAACGAAACCAGATTAATCCAAACTGAACCAGATTAACCCAAACTGAACCAGATTAATCCAAACTGAACCAGATTAATCCAAACTAAACCAGATTAACCCAAACTGAACCAGATTAATCCAAACTAAACCAGATTAATCCAAACTAAACCAGATTAACCCAAACTGAACCAGATTAATCCAAACTAAACCAGATTAATCCAAACTAAACCAGATTAATCCAAACTGAACCAGATTAACTCAAACTGAACCAGATTAATCCAAACTAAACCAGATTAATCCAAACTAAACCAGATTAACCCAAACTAAACCAGATTAATCCAAACTGAACCAGATTAACCCAAACTGAACCAGATTAACCCAAACTAAACCAGATTAATCCAAACTGAACCAGATTAACCCAAACTGAACCAGATTAACCCAAACTGAACCAGATTAACCCAAACTGAACCAGATTGACCCAAACTAAACCAGATTATCCCAAACTGAACCAGATTAATCCAAACTAAACCAGATTAAGCCAAACGAAACCAGATTAATCCAAACTGAACCAGATTAATCCAAACTAAACCAGATTAAACCAAACTAAACCAGATTAATCCAAACTAAACCAGATTAATCCAAACTGAACCAGATTAACTCAAACTGAACCAGATTAATCCAAACTAAACCAGATTAATCCAAACTAAACCAGATTAATCCAAACTGAACCAGATTAACCCAAACTGAACCAGATTAACCCAAACTAAACCAGATTAACCCAAACTAAACCAGATTAATCCAAACTGAACCAGATTAACCCAAACTGAACCAGATTAATCCAAACTGAACCAGATTATCCCAAACTAAACCAGATTAATCCAAACTGAACCAGATTAACCCAAACTGAACCAGATTAATCCAAACTGAACCAGATTAACCCAAACTGAACCAGATTAACCCAAACTAAACCAGATTAACCCAAACTGAACCAGATTAACCCAAACTGAACCAGATTATCCCAAACTGAACCAGATTAACCCAAACTAAACCAGATTAATCCAAACTAAACCAGATTAATCCAAACTGAACCAGATTAATCCAAACTAAACCAGATTAATCCAAACTGAACCAGATTAACCCAAACTAAACCAGATTAATCCAAACTAAACCAGATTAACCCAAACTAAACCAGATTAACCCAAACTGAACCAGATTAATCCAAACTGAACCAGATTAACCCAAACTGAACCAGATTAATCCAAACTGAACCAGATTAATCCAAACTGAACCAGATTAACCCAAACTGAACCAGATTAACCCAAACTGAACCAGATTATCCCAAACTGAACCAGATTAACCCAAACTAAACCAGATTAATTCAAACTAAACCAGATTAACCCAAACTGAACCAGATTAACCCAAACTAAACCAGATTAATTCAAACTAAACCAGATTAACCCAAACTGAACCAGATTAATCCAAACTGAACCAGATTAATTCAACTAAACCAGATTAATCCAAACTGAACCAGATTAATCCAAACTAAACCAGATTAATTCAAACTAAACCAGATTAACCCAAACGAAACCACTTTAATCCAAACTGAACCAGATTAACCCAAACTAAACCAGATTATCCCAAACTGAACCAGATTAACCCAAACTAAACCAGATTAATTCAAACTAAACCAGATTAACCCAAACTAAACCACTTTAATCCAAACTGAACCAGATTAACCCAAACTAAACCAGATTATCCCAAACTGAACCAGATTAATCCAAACTAAACCAGATTAATTCAAACTGAACCAGATTAACCCAAACTAAACCAGATTAATCCAAACTGAACCAGATTAATCCAAACTGAACCAGATTAACCCAAACTGAACCAGATTAACCCAAACTAAACCAGATTAATTCAAACTAAACCAGATTAACCCAAACTGAACCAGATTAACCCAAACTAAACCAGATTAATTCAAACTAAACCAGATTAACCCAAACTGAACCAGATTAACCCAAACTAAACCAGATTAATTCAAACTAAACCAGATTAACCCAAACTGAACCAGATTAATCCAAACTGAACCAGATTAACCCAAACTAAACCAGATTATCCCAAACTGAACCAGATTAACCCAAACTAAACCACTTTAATCCAAACTGAACCAGATTAACCCAAACTAAACCAGATTAACCCAAACTGAACCAGATTAACCCAAACTAAACCAGATTAATTCAAACTAAACCAGATTAACCCAAACTGAACCAGATTAATCCAAACTGAACCAGATTAATTCAAACTAAACCAGATTAACCCAAACTAAACCAGATTAACCCAAACTGAACCAGATTAATCCAAACTAAACCAGATTAACCCAAACTGAACCAGATTAACCCAAACTAAACCACTTTAATCCAAACTGAACCAGATTAACCCAAACTAAACCACTTTAATCCAAACTGAACCAGATTAACCCAAACTGAACCAGATTAACCCAAACTGAGGATCTCAGTGGATCTGCTACCTCAGTCCTGTAGACGAGCTGCATGGTGGCGTCGTCGTTCACTCTGTAGATCTCCAGGAACGGATCCGATTTACTGAAAAAGTCCTGGGAGAAATCCAGAAACACTCGGGATCAGCAGAGAGATTTCGCTGCGGAGAATTGTTCCCTCCATTTTTCCACAGCAGGAAACGCCTTCTGAACAACCTCTGTGTTAGCGCTTTTGCTAACTTTGAAAACATTTAGCACACTTAGTTGCCCTACAATACTTTTACTTTACCAGAAAAAGTTTACAGTGCTTATTTACTCGTCTGTTTTTTAAACTTTGACCTCTGCAGTTCAACATGCAGGGATTGTTTTGAGCTCCTCCTCAACACATGATGGCATCAACATGGCTGAATTTAGGACTTTAGCATTAGCTTCCATCAAATACTACACTGGCTTGGTGCTTCACTGTTAGCTTAGCCGATTTCTTAGTTCCTAAGAAATCCTCCTGAGCATTCGCTTCAAGCAAAGCAACTAAGATCTGGTTTGGATGCTTC